GCCCTATTATACCATAAAGATCCGAGATTTCTTCACAGATTGGCTTTTTTTGAGATTTTAGAACTCTACTTAGGAAAAACCTCTTTAACACACATCACTTAGGTGTGTGGCTTTTTATTGCCAGAGTAAGGAAAGACTTCATTTAATGGACTGAAGACATCAGAAGTGACACACCTAAGCAGTGCACTTTGATGGAGATCTGCCTTTTCCAATCTGCACCTAGTAAACTGGGCACATTTGCTTAGGCCAAATGGGCAAGAGGTGTCTGCAGCACAGACTTCCCCTGCTCTGAGTGTTAATTTAAACAAAACCCCAAATGGTTCCCAAAATAGAACAGATGTTCCTTAACTCGGCAATCAATTCCAAGCATGTCGGCCTAAGCCTCCCGCCCCCACTACCATAGTCACTTAACATGTCTGGATCTGATTTAAACATTTGTAAACTATGGAAAACTCAAATGCACAGACCTTGTGCTCTACAGATATTTGGCTGGGATGGAGGGAGGAACATAGACTCCATTGTATTGCCTAGGGCAGGCATCCCCAAACTCAGCCCTCCAGATGTTTTGGGACTACAACTCCCATCATCTCTAGCTAACAGGACCAGGGGTCAGGGATGATGGGAATTGTAGTCTCAAAACATCTGGAGGGCTGAGTTTGGGGATGCCTGGCCTAGTGAAATAATCAACAAGCACAGAGGATACAGTGGTACCTCTGGTTACAAACTTAATTCGTTCCGGAGGTCCGTTCTTAACCTGAAACCATTCTTAACCTGGGGTACCACTTTAGCTAATGGGGCCTCCCACTGCTGCCGCGCCACCGCGTGATTTATGTTCTCATCCTGGGGCAAAGTTCTTAACCTGAGGTATTACTTCCGGGTTAGCAGAGTTTGTAACCCAAGGTGTTTGTAACCCAAGGTACCACTGTAATGGGAGTTGTTTGGTGATGTGCATATTTCCAAGTGACCCATAAACTATATGCACACAATGCCATAAGATTAGCAATGTTCAGAATCAGTCAGGCTCAGCACCCATGTGCCTCAACAAGTCCTATTGTGCTGGTCCAGGGGGGAGGTTACAGTGGGGCGAGGTCCAGGACCTGAGTCGAGGGTCGGCAGACAGTCCTCCACAGGCGAAGTGGGGTCCACAGCGAGGAGCCAGGCAAGGACAGGAACTCTGGGGAAACCGGACTGGGTGCTGGCCGAAACAGCTCTTCAACGACGTTGCTCCCGCAACCTGGGACCGGGCTGACTGGCCTTTATCTTCTCTGAGGCCAGGGGCGGTCCTGGCCCCCAGGAGACCCGCCTCTCCTGGCCTTAAGGCGAGCACTCCTCCTGGGAGAAACCAGTTCCCTTCGCCTCTCTGCCCTGAGCCTCTGCAGTTCAGGAGAGGCTGAAGGGTACTGGACCCAGGGGGAGACTCACCTGTAGGCACTGAGTCCTCAACCACCTCTGGAGCCAGAGTGGATTCACTGCTCCTGAGGATCCGGCACAGGTGCAGGCGCTTCAGAATCAAGGCCCTGCCCCAGTTCAGCCGGCCCTGGAGGCGGGGACTCCTGTGCAGGCTGGGATTCCTCCAGTTCAGCCTCTGAATCGGATTCCCAGGCCATCATGCCTATGCTAAATACCCCCTTCCCCAGTACCTGCCACACTTAACTAATGTGGTGGATGGCAAAACATGGCAGCTGCCAGGTGCTGGCCAGTTGGCTTCCAGTCTAGTGCAATGCTGCCACTGAGCAAGCCCATTGGCTTGCTAGTGTGATGGTGAACTTGGCAGCTGCAGCATCACTGGGGTCCACATTGTTACAGCAGTGTTAACCAGCTTTGCCTGCACCCATCCTGCCTGAATGCAGCAGGGTGGCTTTGCATCGGTTGCCACAGGGACTCAGTAGGATTTTATTTTATTTTAATATCTATGTGATCTCTGGTTGTTGAACCCACATTTTTGCCTGACCTATGCTGTTAACTGCTAGCAGGGGCAAGTTCAATTTAGCTGGTGATCACTGATCACCCCTGTTGGGTGGTGCAGGCACTGTGCATAGCTATAAAAGGTGAGCACTTGAGGTGGAGGGGCAATAGAATGGGCCACTTCTCATTGCTAGCCAGCTCAAGTGGCTGTGGGAAGGGTTTCAGTCCCTTGAATGCTGACCAGCAGAGTGTGGAGCAGATAGGGCCTTTCATCTGACCTTTAGGTGATGGTGGTTTGGCTGGAACTAGGGTGGTATCTCATCTAGATTTTCTGATGTCTGAAATAGATCCCCACATGCCCAATGTTTCTTGTTTGCTTTTTGCAGTTGGTTCTTGAGTTTTAATAAAGTTGTGGCCCTTTGTATGCCGTCTCATGTCTTTGTTCCTTTGGAAGTGGGGCAGTTGTCACATTTTTACGGGTTGCCTAGTGACACCAAAAACCATGTGGGCAAAAGGAGGACAAAGAAATGTGTAACCACCAAAGTCCACTGTAAGTTGCAACAACCTCTTGCCGTCGTTCTTAATCATAAACCCAGACCGTATCGGTCATCCATTCATAATAAGTATTTCATATGGTATTTTTAAAAGGACAAAGAGTAGCAACTTCCCAACAGGACACAGAACTCCAGTGAAATTTTGTGTACAGCATGATTGCCCCAGAGCTTCCGAAGAAGGTTTCCTTTAATCAAAAACAAACCCCACTGAGTCTCCAAGGTCATCATTTAGGGGGTTCGCCTGACCTAGCCTTTGTATAAAGCAGATGGCTCTGCTTTGTGGCAATTAGTAAGCAGGAACTGTGGTGTCTGGTTCTATCTTCTGATTCTCTGTTTATATGAAGTTATGTGAAACTGGAACCTCTTTGAAAGTCAAGCTGTACTGAACCCATTTAAGGCTATTTCATTTCTAATTATAGGACTGATAAAGCCATTTTCATGCAAGAGCAGGAACACCGTGGGGACTGTCAAACTTCTGAACACCCCGTCGATGGCAGGTGGTCTGATTGTTTGAAAGGTTATCACTGTCCATGATAACCTTTACATGGTGGGGGTGGAAATCTCATTTTGATTAGAAAAGTAACCGTTCTCCATGAAGTTAAAGTAATCTGAACTTTTACCTGTGTCAGTGTGCAATACTTTTTTCCACAAGGAAAAAGAAATCAGACAACTATATAAGACAACATAAATCCACTAGCATCTTCAGAAAGGGTCCTTCAATATTGGTACCAATGGTAAAACTCTCTTGGGAAGAAAAAAATGACAAAACTCTATTGACTGTTGGCTCTTCCTTCCCATATTTTGGGTGCTTCCTCGTGAGAGTTCATTGTGGACTCAGTGCTACTCATGGTACACAAGTCCCCTCCCCCCCCCAATTTAATCCATATTTATTGTTTCTGCAGAAAATCCAGTAAGTTTTTTTTTTTTTTTAATGGTGGAAATGTGAAAGATTAAATTGAGGGGGGGGGGATATGCAATAGGATGACATTGTGTGGATCCAGTGCAAAACTTAGATGCATGAGCAGCACTGAGTTTCTGGGCTGCCAACTGAGGGGCAGGGTGCTATTTTCAGGAGCAAATGGTTGTTCCTTATATTTTGACCAAAGACAGCTTTTGCTCTCACTATTCCACACACTATTCCCACATAAATGTCAATCATGATTACTTTGAAATGGATAGTTCCCAGTCTGGGCATGCCTTGAAAGCAGATTGAACCATTCATAAAAATAATTTGTAACTGGAGTGACCTAAAGCACAATGCCTATGATTAGATGGGTTCAGATTGGAATGTTATATTTCAAAATGTACTTAAAGATTACTAGATCAACCATATTTTAAAGAAATAGGCCAAGGATGTTTCAACTGATGTCCTTACAGCAGAAAAGTCCAGTATGCTATAATCTGTAGTGAAAACTGCATGATTCCTTGTTTTTAATTATTTATTCTGGCCACTCAAGACAAATTCCAATGTCAAATTTTACACTGAAATCATTTGGAATGTAAGTTTTTTCCATCACTCTTACAAATTCAGGTGGGGATGTATCTAGATTGTTTTCAGTGTCTGTTTTGAAATTGCAGATGAGGGAAGTTGCAGAAACCAACATGTTCCTTTCTTTATTTCAGCTGCTTCGGCATAAACCTGTATCAAATGATATCTGCATCCTTGCTCTCTGTGCAAACTTCCTGATGTCTTATCACAGTACAGCTCATGGAGGGATTATCTGGCTATCAACGGACAGCCTCAGATTTTCATGGTCATTGTCCTTTTCTACAAGAGCTCACAGGGGAAGCCTAGCTAAGGCAGCAATTCAAGCACCTTGGAGCACTCGCAGCACCTTGGATAGCTCCTAGGGTCCTTCTATGGTAGCTTCCCAAGCTGCTGTCTCTCCAAAGGGCCCAGCTTCAACTAATTTCTTATCTACATTGGCTGGCCTACAGGGCAGTAAGCCCTGCCTCCCCAGGGGAGCTGCCTGTCTATTAATGGACCATCACCTTATTCTGCAGTCTTTGGTTCCTACAGGATTGGGCAACATGGAAGCTTCCGCTCAATCAAAGGAGGGTGCCAAGGCTGTGTTTTCTGGCCAGGAGAGTCCTAAAGATAGTCGTGGAAGTTCTTTCCCCAAGGACTGGGTATGAGCACTGTCCTCTTCTGTATCCACTGCACACTGCATGGTGTCTGGGTTGTGGATCATGGCAGATGTCACCACTGTTCCACAAACATTAGGGCTGTTCCCATTTTTTCCTGTGGAATTTTACTTTGCTGTGCTGGATGGCAATAAAGATGCCCTCAACGATTGGAGGTGGCAGAATTTCCATTGAAAATATGGAGATGGTGTTGGGGATTTGTGCTTAATTTTATGAGGTTGCACTAAAGCAGCTGTCTCTCTCTCTCTCTCTCTCTCTCTCTCTCTATATATATATTGAGTGTGTGTGTGTGTGTGTGTGTGTGTGTGTGTGTGTGTGTGATTTCATCCAGCCTACTATAGTTTCAGGAAGTGGACAATATTCAAAGTCCTGATACACTCCAGCTGGATTTTCTGTACCAGTCTTAATGTCATTTCTATTCAGCAGTTTTCTACAATGTGATTGCAGGAAAAACTACAGTGAGATCATTCCCCATAAAAGTTCCTGAGTTTGTTGTAAATGAGAGGAGACATGGCACCCTGAACCACATCATATCCACATTAACAGCAGTCACAAACAGGCTATTCCAAAAATGTTGCTCCAAAGAGACTGTTTGTGAACAACTCAGCAAGACACTACTCTTCTGATTGAGACATCAGGAATTTTCTTGCATAGCTGCAGCATTGACAGTAACTGAAAAGGAAGAAAAAATATGTGATTGTAAGCCACGGGTGCACCAGATCTTGACACACTGCTCAGATCTATCTGAAATGGCAAACACTTGAAGATGGCCCACATCAACACAATGAATGGGAAGGAACCCATCCATCAAAATGTAGGGCATTTCTTTCAGCACTGGCTAAGTACCACTGACCTGTTTCCCATTAAGTGGATGAGCTGAAATGTATGCCAAAGTGTTCATGGGATAGAAGGAAATATTTGAAAGCAAACCATTGAAAAATGGCACAGAAAGCTTCCCAGATACCTCTTTCTCTTTTTCTGCCCAAATAAAGCCCTTACTAAACATCTGTCACTTAAGGATGGAGAGAAATAAGATTCAGTTTGCATTTAAAGGCAAACCTTTTTCATTCACACTTCCTGAAATAATACATTAACTGAAACACAGCCATCCATAAAAATTCACATTTCTCTGAATTTTGCAATGTAGTTCTCCAGCCAAGTCATGTGTTCAAAAATGCAAATACTTGGGGAAGGTGTGCACAGAAATGCATATAACATAGAAAATGCATTATATTAGGGGGAAATGCTTTGCAAAAATGTGAATATTAGGGGAAATAGAATACAAACATATGCATATTAGGAGAAATATGCACTAACAGTTCCACGAGGACTTAAAAAAAATACAAACTGACACGAAAATGTGGAAAACTAAATTTAAGATTGGAAATTCAAGAAACTAAGAGAAACCAAAACTGATAGATTTTCCCATCATATTACACTTTCATCTTCCCAATCTCTGCTTCTGGGTAAATTGCTAACCTGCTGGAAGGCTTTAGCAAGATTTCTAGGCTGTTAACATTCACCCTAGACCCATCTTCATGCATTTAAATCAGCAGGCATGCAGAGAAGTGGGCATATATGAGGGGCCCACCCTTATAATCCCCACATATGTCAGTTGCAGCTGCCCCACCCTGGTCTTCCTGTGCTGAGCAGAAAGGCCAGAAGAAAGCTTTGAATTGTGTTTGTCTGAAGGCATTCCCCTCACTGTCAGCAAAACCGATAGCTTCTAAGTATGTTCAACTGAACGTACTTAGACGTCTCATTCAGGCCTTCCCATACATGGTGCAGGTGGGGACAAGGATGTAGTGGGGTAGCCGGCATATAGTCAACCCCTCAGGGGTGGCACATCTCATTTTTCCACTTGAGGCAAAATGGAAACTGCTGCCTTGCCCTGCCCTGCCACTCCCACAGGGCTGTAGCCTTGGTACCTTCAGCCACCACAGTTAGCTAAATAGCAGAACTGACTCTGCACCACCTACACACTTTATGCTCAGCTGTGGTCAAAGGAGACATAGAAATGAGAAATCATAAAGTACCTTGGCCTAAGCAAAATTGTGGTATCATATAACATCATCTACATATGCTAAGATTCGTGGGGGGGGGTGATACAATTTTTAAATAAATAATGTTGTGGGTTGAAGCAGAAGTTTATACATGCCGGTACTTTTCACAACACTTGTTCTCCAGTCACACATCCTTTTAATGGGTATCTGTTGAAGAAATGCCATTGCCATCCAACAGGGGTGCCAACCTGAATAAAATATTGTGGGGGCCCAGGTAAGCCCCATCCTGCATAATCAATCATGTGACGCAGTGCACACACACCATTCGAGTGGGAATGCCCATCAACTTTGTGTGGGCTCGGCCCCCTCAAATATTTTATTGTGGGAACTGAAGCCCCCATGGCCCCTAGGAGTTGGCTCCCATGCCACCCCATGTTCTGTGCCACGTTCTTTTGAGTAATCACTGGGTGTGATCATAAGATAAGAATTGCATTAGAAGTGGTAATGAGGGGTCCTTCAACCCATAGCATATGTCCCTTTTCCATTGGCACACCTTTTCTATATCTCCTGGTAGGTTTCTGCAGTCATGTATCAGAAGTAGATTGGTTGCAAGATGTGAGGCTGGATTGGTTCAGTCTCTTGCCTTCTAAAAGTAGAAATAGCAACACCCAATGGTCACTGGGATTCTCCTTTGGCTCAGGGCATCTTTGAGCCACCATTCTAGTAGCTGACCTTCACTTGGGAACCGGAAGTATAGCATTGCACCAGTTTCCTCACTGGGTATCCTCTGCATCTCACGGCTTGTGGTGCAGCCACTCAGTACAGGCCTATTCACCAGGAGACCATTCTGATTCATCCCAGAATGGTCTTAGCGTCAATCATATAATTTTCATCTAGGTCGTCTCATACATTTTTGACTCTTTCCTTAAAGCTAAATATGGATCAACAGCAAGATTAGCATATGTCCTTCCAAGCAGTACACAAATTTTGATGGTGAATATGAGTCAACAAATACTTCTACTGAGCTGTCTTTTTTTTTTTAGTAAAATAAAATTAGGTATAAAGACAAAATCAAAATGTCTATTAGAATCGTACGTTGCTCGCCTTGGGCTAATTTCTAGTGTGATATCTTTTGTAGATGAAATGAAGAAAAAAGAGTATCATTGATCTGACAATACTATAGTTATCCTCTAACGTTTCTTTTAAACTCTTCATGGGCATCTATAACAATTCTTAACTTCAGTTTTAGTCCTTAATGCAAATTTACACACAACTGGAGGTGAATTTCTTAGTCGTCTTGTGGCACGCAGTCATGTGGGGCTTCCAGGTATCTTTAAGTTTAAGGGACTTGGTTTTTGAAAACAGAGGGGTCATATTCAGGATGAGATGCAGGGATGAACTTTCTTGTGCATCATCTTCTCCATCACAATTTCACTCTCCATCACAACCATGCTGTGATATTCAGTGATGGAGAAATTGGCAATAGGGGACATTCAGAGGAAGCGGGAGCACAGGAAGACCCACAAGAGTTGCATGCAGCCCTCAGACCAGGGGTTGTTCAAACACATTTTAAAAGATGCCTGCAAGCATGACTTGAAAGGTGGCAACATCAACCACACCATGTGGGAATCTCTTGTAGATGACCATAGTGTCTGGAGACAGACAATGAGATCATGCATCCATAGCAGTGACCAGAGGAGGAATGACTACTGGGAGGAGTGCAGAGAGAAGAAATGCCACGATGCATCTGCTGAAGCACAACTGGACTTCCTCATCTGCCCCAGCTGCAACAAAACATGCTCCTCCCATATTGGTCTCTACAGCCACAACAGGCACTGTAATCTGTCAACAGTTTGACTTCACCCCCCAAATGCACACTCCTTCATGGTCTCCTGAGACAGACAGATGCCAACCAATTCAGAAGCATCACAAGTGATTTTTAAATGGTTGTGCATTAGTTGTGCATGACACTTTTCAGACTGGCATGTGGGAAAAGACAGAACCCTGCCCTAAGGATGTTCCAATAGAAACCCCACAGAAGCAAGAAAATTTAAGCCATGCACGTCCCTGACGTGTGACGAAATGATAGAAAGAGCACCTTAGACCATATGAAAAGGATCTTTCCCTCCCTACTGTTTAACTACATTCAAGGTGGTCTAGGACAAGTGGGCATGGTTGATTGATATCCCGTACCTTTTGATTTGTAAATTAAGCACTTACGTCTATGCATCTGTGCACCTTGTGAATTATTCAGTACATGTTCATATCTAGCATTTTTAAAGCTATCTCTGTATCAGCCAGCCTACAGTCTGAAAATACATCAAACCATTCATAGGACTACAAAGATGTGTGCAAGTTTACATTCAGAGGCGCTGGGGCAGCAGGACTCACCTCAATATTTAAAAGAAGCCCCAGTCCAGTCATATGAGTCCACCTGTGGACTTCCTGAAGAGTTGTATATCACTGTGTGCCAGCAGTACTAGGGAATAGTCTGAGTCAGACTCACAAATGCTGATTGATGGGCCACTTCCTAAGTAAGCAGAAGCAACTAATAAAGATGACCTTAGCACACAATTTATGTGCTTCAAGCAATTCAGCCACTTACGCTAGAGCCTAGCAAGAGAAGGGTACAAAGAGCTGGTGCTGGTGATCTCCTCAGTGGGGTGGAGGGATGAGTTGAAGGTGAAACTATGGAAGGTGGGATGAGAAGGTAAATCTCTTGTTAACTTCTTTATAGATACCAGAAGGTCCTACATCCCTGTATGACATATGCTCTTTGTTTTATAAAAAACTGTTGTACCCAACTATATTTATTCAAACTTAAAAATATTTATCAAATAAATAAGCAGCAAAGATATCTCTCTGTGTGTTTTAAAAGGCTTGTAAATCATTTAACATCTGTATCTTGTGATTTTTTTTAATTGTGGAGGAGAAACTGTAATCCCACCATTTCCCTATTTTTTACAATATTCTCCTCCTCTAAGTAAGGTAACTCTCCCTTGCAAAAATGAGCTGAGTCCAAAAATGTGCACAAATACATTTCTCAAAATGTGAGTGTGTTTGCTGCTCCATAATTCTGCTGATGTTAACACAGGTGTCCTTCTTTTTTACTAGCTTTTTTTTTAACGGAGTATTGCTGCATTCAGGTCCTGTTTGCAGGCTTCTCATGGGCATCTGGGCAGCTGTTGTGAGAACATGTTGCTGGACTAGATGGTCCCATGGCCTGATCCAGCAGAACTCCTCTTACATTCCTTTACCAAATTCATTTCCGATTTCTCAGAAAAAAATGCAAACATAAGATCTGCTGTAAAGGTAAAGGGGGCCCCTGACCATTAGATCCAGTTGTGACCGACTCTGGGGTTGCGGCGCTCATCTCGCTTTATTGGCTGAGGGAGCCGGCGTACAGCTTCCGGGTCATGTGGCCAACATGACTAAACCGCTTCTGGCGAACCAGAGCAGCACATGGAAACGCCGTTTACCTTTCCACCACAGCGATACCTATTTATCTACTTGCACTTTGATGTGCTTTTGAACTGCTAGGTTGGCAGGAGCAGGGACCGAGCAACGGGAGCTCACCCTGTTGCGGGGATTCGAACTGCCGACCTTCTGATCAGCAAGTCCTAGGCTCTGTGGTTTAACCCACAACGCCACCCGCGTCCCAATAAGATCTGCTGTATCTTATGCTATATACAGTGGTACCTCAGGTTGAGAACTTAAATCGTTCTGGAGGTCCGTTCTTAACCTGAAACTGTTCTTAACTGTTCTTAAAGTACCACTTTAGCTAATGGGGCCTCCCGCTGCCACCGCGCTATTTCTGTTCTCATCCTGAAGCAAAGTTCTTAACTCAAGGTACTATTTCTGGGTTAGCAGAGTCTGTAATCTGAAGCATCTGTAACCCGAGGTACCACTGTAGAATGTTTGCTGTTATGCATTATTAGCAATGCATCTCTTTTTTTAGTATATAAAATGTTTTATTCAAAATACAGAACCTTGGTTTTCAGATGTCTCCGTTGCCGAACTTTTCAGAACCCAAACACCAAAAACCCGGAAGTAAATGCTTCCTTTTTCAAATGCTCCTCGGAAGTCGAACGGCGTCCACTGAGTGTACCACTGCATTTTTCTCAATTTTCTGCCGACCATTGCTTCTCGGTTTTCAAACGTTTCAGAAGTTGAATGGTCTTTCAGAATGGATTACGTTCAAAAACCAAGGTACCACTGTATATGCCTTGCCACACATCCGTACAAGAGGCCTGTGAGATGGGTCATGTATTCATTTATATGTAAAATATTTCTAAGCTGCCCTCATCCAATGCATTCCAGGGCAGAGTACAAGAAAAACAGAACAAAGTACATGGGAAATCAAAACACAGTACAATGATTGTGGATGGATTGGTACATTTCCAGTCCAAGTCAGTCTTGCATGTATTCAGTCTTGCATAAGTCCATTCCATCCTGTTTTCACATTTGAAAATGTCTTAATCCACACACACAAAAATGTGCTTTCTTATCACAAAATAAAGTATTTAAATGGCTCCTATCACAACATACACATTTCTAAACGCATGCTATCCAAAATTGTACATTTCTACTTATTTTGGTGTGTGCTTATTGGCATGGGTGCTCACTAGGGAGAGGCACTGCTGTAAACCTGGGCTCCCAGCACTGATGTCACTGCTGCTTCCTGAGATGGTGTTGGGATAGAGCAGGCCAGCAGCAATATCAGAGAAATGTAGCTGCACTAGCAGGAGATCGTTATCATCATTTTTGAAGGAAGTGATATCATTTGGGGAGAGAACTGCAGTTTTGCCCCATGGAAAGTTGCCAAGATGGAGTTTTTATTCCATTCAAATGCACATCCCATCTTGTGGGCTTATTCTTGCCTGTTGAGGATAATCTATATAGCATGTGTAATGCAAAACAGCTCATGCATTCCCCAGACTTTTCTTTTTCTTCCTCCTCTGAGAATTTCCTTCTTCTTTTAAGCACGTATGAGGTTGGGCTAAATTGAGGGCAGAGACTAGCAATCTGGTCACTATTCCTACAGCAACCTGGGCATTACAAGAAAATCAGAGTCATAAAGGAAGCTGTAAAAGCAGTCATGCTGAGCAAAAAGAACTGTAATATTTTGCCCCGTGTTGCACTTGCCATTGCACTTTTTTGAGTCTGTAACCTTGGGAGTTCTGCATGGCTGAAGGAGGCAACAGGCCTTTTCATGAGTTAAACAAAGGAAAATGATGTGGGAGAACCAAAATTTTCATACAACCAAGTGAAACAAGGGAGTTGTTTTGTTTTTTTTTTTAAAGGATTATTTGAAGAACAAAAACCAATTGCTAACATCATAGTAAATCATTGCGGTATTTGGATATCGAGGGCGAAAATAGATATTAGCTCTCTGGAATTTCCAATGCTTTTTGTGGAGCAAAAGGTTTGCTACAAAGGTGATGGGGTAATATTTCACCCACCAACACATTCATGGGTACCATTAATTCCAGACAAGTCCTGATTAATGGAGAAGACACTAAAGATGCTGGCAGACACTACATGGAGCTCAAAGTATAACCCCTGGATTAATTTTTCAAGGATGCAGTGGGGTAAAAGCCTACTTAGCCAGCTGCATATCTGTGACAGCAAGTAACACTAGCTTTTATGGTGGACTAGGCATCTCTGTCACTATCTCAGACAGCTCAAGGAAGGCTTATGAAATGTAGATATTAGAGTTATAGACTCTTCTAGAAAACAGCTCCCTGCTCATTGCTTTAGTAACAGATCTTCAGATCATGACAGGCCACCTTTTTTTTTTTTTTTTTTTTAGTAACTGGCACCAATGGTCCTCATTTTTATACAGATTTCTCTTCAAAAGGTTGAGTTCTCTGGCTTGCTCTTTGCCCTCTTTTTTCTCCCCCATTTACAATTCTATGATATATATATATATATATATATATATATATATATATATATATAGAGTCAGGATTTCCACTACTTCAAGAGAAATGTAGCATGCAACATGGATCTATTTTAGTTGTCGAGCCAATTTATGAGTTGCAGCAGAAGCCACAGTTGATGAGACCTTCTGATATGATGCCTACTCAAGAATGTCCAGGATCCATCGTGACCAAAAGTCATCAGCATCCAAGCTTCTACACTTCTCCTGCAGTGTCTGAATGAACAGTCTTTCATCAGCACGATGTTTGAACATTTCACCAATCCTACAAGCCATGCATGTGATATAGATTTTCACTTCACTTCCATATAACTTGTGAATTTGGGACTTAGGGATCTACAGCTAACTGAGTGGGAGTAGATCCTGGGGGTAGTGCTTTGATTCTTAGGGCAGCTTAGCATGTGTTGTGCGCCACACAGACATAATGTACACCCAAGGGGCAATATTATACTTAATAATGGCAGGGAAAAGGGAGCTATGGGTTAGACAGAAGTATGATGAATGTGAGAGTGTAACCCCACTCATTGAGCATTGGCTACAACCCTTGATGGCCAAATATGGTCCAATCTGAATATTAAGGATTGAACATAAGGTATTATTGCTGTCACAATGTAATGTCTAGAACTACTTACCATCTGGATTGCTGTCACCACACTGTCGAGTCTCCACAATCTTTCCTGGTCTATGTTCCACTGTAAAAAAAATAATTCTGATCTCAGCTTGCCCACTACACCACATGTTTTAATTCAGTTATGGGATTTCCCTCATAACGTGACTCAACACTGAGTCATGTAAACACTCAACAGTGTTTACAGCTTGCATTGTGACACAAATCCTATACCCATTTACCTAGAGCCATGGGCCCCACAGGGGGGCAATTTTATTTTTAAGTGGGGCAATTTGGAAGCTTGTTTAGACCAAGTTAATTGTCTTTTAGGCTTCCTCCATGTGAAGAGGAGTTCACTTTTTGAATAATAAGAATTATATATCACCAGGGGTAGGGGCAATCAGGATCTTAGAGATGCTTAGGTGGGGCCAAAAAAAGGCTGGGAACCACTGACCTAGAGTAAGCTTCATTAAATTCCATGGGGCTTAAGTCTAAGTAGACATGTATAGGATTGCAGTATATGTTGTGGACTAAAACATTTCTCCTTCAAGTTTTGCTTCTGCAATAAACTTAGGCTAGCCACTAACTCTTAGCCCCACATCTGCAATATTGGATAATGCTATTGTCCTACCCTATAGGGTTGCTGTAAAGATTAGTCAGGTCATGAATACCACGTGTTTTATAAGAATGTGATTTATACCTATTATTTAGGTTTACTTAATGCACTGATTTTATAGTAAAAGTAGCAGTTTGCTTGCAGTTGCAACATGTATGACAATGATATATGAAGTTTCCCATTATCTTTGTAATAAAGCAAACTTTCCACCCCTCCTGAGGGTGAAATGCAGGGTGTGGGGAGAGAATATAGACTACATCTCTGTACAATTTTCAACAATATATATCAGGTTTACCAGCATCTCTGGCATATGTATCTGCTTGACAGCACTTAAGTGTACTTCACCTTTGTTTAGACAAGGTTATTTAATGTGGTACCTGCTTAATGCTGTACAGTAGGTTAAATGCTTAATAGTATTAGGCTATATGGATAACTCAGCTGTGTGATTTCTCAAAGCTCTCCTGACCTATTACCCTCAGCTATAACTTAGTACCAAATGTTTAAAGATCACAGGGATATTATTCTTTAAAAGGTAGCCCGCGTTAGAACATTTTAGGCTGACAAGGGAACCTGATTCAATTGTGTCTGAAACTTAAGTTAATTGTTTCATAAAAGGGCAATATCAAGCACTTTTCTCATAAGTGTTTATAAGAATCTTGGTGCATTATGGTTTTAAGGGAAACATTTATTCTGCAGATGACCTTACGTGATGACATGAATTCAAGTTCCATTCCATTTATTTTAAAAAATAAAATACATGATCCAAATGTGAATGTCAAATTTCCTTCACTCAGATTAGTTTTCCCTGCCTTCCCTACTTAAGCATACTTATGTATTGCACAGGCCAAAATGCTTACAAAATATATCTGGATTGCATATGGAGCTTGTTTATTAATTTCCTGAAAACAATGTCACTTTTTAATACATTTTTTTTTTAAATTGTCTTCTTAATGATTTTCATAAGAGGCGAGGTGAAAATAAGATTTAAAAACACTGTTTTAAAATGTCAAAACATGCAGGAAGTGTATTAATGTAACAAAGACAACAAGGATACAGCAACAGATGTAATTAGTGTTCATGACTTAGGAGAAAACTGGATTATACCAGAGCAGTCATGAAATCATACAAGGATAGAACATGCAATCAGAATGACTCATGAGGCTTAGCAACATGCCAACAGGTTGAATGTTGGTCAGCATAAATCAGCCTTCCCCAATCTGGTGCTAGATTACTATTCCCATCAGTCAAAAACATCTGGAGGACACCGGGTTGGGGAAACTGGACATAAGTCATGACTGGATAGAGACTTCCAATGACAGTGTGGCTGCATTCACACTGCAGTTCAATGGTTTCCTGACATTTCCCCGTTATGTTGTGCATTATATTTGAGCTTTCACAACAGAAAAGCTACTTCCAGAAAAGGAATAGTAGCCACGTTCGGCCCTCCCGACATCCTTGTCATTCAATTAGGGGAAAATGACCTTGCTTACAGAAGGAGTGCGGACTTGTTGTGGAATATAAAAAGAGACTTGGATGCGTTTGCTGCCTTGTGCCCCAGAACAACGGTGTTCTGGTCCTCCTTCCTGAAGAGAATTTTTTGGCACGGTGCGCAGAGCTGTATGGCCACTGAAAAAACCAGGAAACTCGTAAATCAGGCAGTGGCCCGTTGGGTGCGCTTCATGAATGGCCGAGTCATTTATCATGACCATATCCGGATCGGCGACCAGGCCTTATACCGGAATGACGGGGTGCATCTCTCAGACCAGGGGAACGACATTTGGCTAGATAGTGTCATCAGCAGCATTAGGGATTGGTTACAGCCGTGAGGGTATTGGCGGCGAGCCTTTATCGGCTCGGGTGGCAGTTAGGCATTGGAATAATGTGGTGTGGTGTGTCGAAGGGCTAGGTGTGGCCATCGCCTATGCCTTCAATTTTTGGGTATTCTGTTAAAGGAATCTGGCAGTCATGTACTCTGTCCGATGCCTGCTTGGTGGGAGGCCATGGCACGACCCTCGGTGACATCAGGGGAGAGCCTATAGTTGGATTAGCATCAACAGGCTCCACCTACTGGTGAATAAACCCCCTTTTTTAGACATCCAATGCCTAAGCCAATACCTTTTCACTGCTGTAATCAATAAAGTTGTGGCCTTTTCTTGCCCATTAACCTTATATCACGTGTCCTTGTGTATTCATTTCACATTGCGGGGGTCTGGTCCTCGAACCACAAAGACTCTCCTCCATGGAAGAGAGGGGAGTGGTTGTGGGCGGGAGCCCGAGCACCGCCCCTAGCAGGGGGCGTTAGCCCCCTGCCTCCTCCTCTCACCTGGCTGGTGCCCATGCCCCTCGGCAGGCACCCAACCAGGTGCCTCCGAGGGGGCATTTACAGCAGCCTTTTGCGGCGGCGCCAGCCTCTCCTCGGCCTCATTCTTCTCCGTCGTCTCGTCGCGAGTCACCCACCCTCCACTCCCTTTTAGCTCAGGGTCTTTGTTCTTTGGCCTTGCTATGGACCTTAGGTTGGTCGCCCTGGTTGTCCAGGGGGCCTGGTAGGAATTTTTCCATTTGGCATTAGGCTTTGGTTTTTTCGCCTACCTCGTAGCAATTGTCACAACTTTTTGTGGTATTGGTGGGTAGGTTAGGCACTGGAATAATGTGTTGTGGTGTGTCGAAGGGCTAGGTGTGGCCATCGCCTATGCCTTCAATTTTTGGGTATTCCGTTAAAGGAATCTGGCGGTCGTGTACTCTGTCCGATGCCTGCTTGGCGGGAGGCCATGGCACGACCCCCGGTGACATCAGGGGAGAGCCTATAGTTGGATTAGCATCAACAGGCTCCACCTACTGGTGAATAAACCCCCTTGTTCTAGACATCCAATGCCTAAGCCAATACCTTTTCACTGCTGTAATCAATAAAGTTGTGGCCTTTTCTTGCCCATTAACCTTATATCACGTGTCCTTGTGTATTCATTTCACATTGCGGGGGTCGGGTCCTCGAACCACAAACAATCTGTTTGCGAACCAGCACCAATCCACGGACCTCCACTTGGGGCAGCAGTGTTCTAAAGCAAGCAGTTGCAAACTAATGATAATGATAACCATAATAATTGTACGCTGCCCTTCATCCAAAGATCACAGGCTGATTCACAACAAAAAAATACAAAATGAAAGCACAAAACACATACTGAAACAAAAATGCAAGCAAAGCAGCCCCCTGCTACAGACACGTTTAAAAGACCATAGTATGTTAGTCATCCCAACAAAAGAAGCTTTTTCATCTGACGCTTAAAGATATGTAATGAAGGTGCCAGGTGAGTCTCCTTGGAGGGAGCATTCTCTCAGCACTTTGAATTAGGCCCAGAAACTAATTGGCAGCCAGTGCAGTTGGGCCAGGATCAATGTAATATGCCCAAACTGTCTTGTCCTGCTGAGCAACCTGGATGCCAGATTCTGCACCAGAGGAAGTTTCCAAACCATCTTTAGAAGCAGCGCTACATATAGCACATTGCAGTAATCTAACCTAGAAGGTACCAGAGAAGACTACTTCCATTCAATCTTCATCAACTCTTTCTAGCCTTAACAACAACAACAACAATCAGACAGTGCTATTAAGTTTCATAATACATGTATTTAACTTGTAGAGATGAGGGACTTTGTAAAAGGTCAATTCTTCCTGCATGATTCTCATAGGTGTGTGTGTGTCTGTTTCTAATATTTATTTATAGGCATACACACACACACACACACACACACATATGATATATATGAATATTATATATATATATATATATATATATATATATATATATATACTTTCTACCTTTGTGCTGGGGAAAATATCTCTTCCTTACCCTTCGAAAAGATGGAGGTATCTTGAATGCATTAATATATGTCTAATGGGAGACCAAAAAGATTCAGGAGTCCAGTCATCTCTGAACAAGGGCACATTTGATCTACATGTAACAGGAGTACTTTACAATCTTCACACCACCAGCTCGTGTTGATAGGCAGGCGGTTTAGACTTTGAGATGGCCCTGGAGGAATTTAGCTTAACTGAATGCATCTCCTTGCCTCAGAGATGAAAAGCCACTTCCCGTCCCATATGATCTCTCTGCGGCTTTCTTGCACTGCTGTCAGCCATTTCAGTATCTCTGTCTGTCAGAGAGGCAAAGTCACATTGGTGCTGTAGGCACGGGAGAGTGTCAAACTTTTCAAAATGGCTAAAAATGTGCAAAATATATGATGTATGTGCTAAATATGTTTCAACCCTGCTGGCTGTGCAAAGGTCAGTGGCTATTCATTGTCCAAGCACCGTTTGCAAATGTTATACAGTAATTTTGTATTAATACAGCTCAGCAGGATGAGCAACATAGTTGCACTCACAAAAGCTCTCTAATTGTGATAATTCAGTACATAAAGTAAGCCAGAGAAGCTCATATATAGTCTAAGGTAAGGGTA